CAAATAGGGTAAAAGATCCGAACCCGATTATCGGTGAGACAGAATCCCTCTGTTTGAGTAGTTTCCCCTCCATTCTGACTGCTCAAATTTCATGGAACACAAGTGGATGACCCTCAATAATGCCAGCAGCTTAGAACATCCCAGAGATGGATTTTTCGGAGATATTTCCTATATTGGGGGGTGAAATCATTTTTGGCCGTCAGAGTATCTACATAGAGCCCCGCATGGCGCATGCACTCATCCATTTATTTATCCCGCGTTCTAGCCAAGAGACTAATAGTAATCAGACTTCGCACCGATTCCATCTCAAAGTATACTAGTAAGTGTTGCGCGCACATCATCTCGATACGTAATCATGATGGAATCGTCTCTGGAGCGGTCCCCCTCCTTCAGGATCTTTTCATCAAAGCCTTGCCATCAAATCCTTGCCATCAAATCCTTGCCATCAAATCCTTGCCATCAAAGCCTTGCCAATTCCCGTCAGAATCTCTTATCCTTTTCTCAGGTCTTCTCTTCGCAAGGCCTGGCTGAATTACGCCAATGGTGACCCACTCGCGACCGAATCCTCTTCACAAAAAGACTCTGTGGTTCATTCCAATCCTTTCATTTCCGCTTCCGCATCAACCCGGCCGTATCCTGATTGGGTCCCTGTTGCCGGTTCCTCCTCCTCCTACGAACCTCTTAATTTGGACCGTCGTTAGGGGATTCAAAAAATTCACCCCGTTTTAGTTCATTCATCCAATCACAAGACCTCCGCACACAGGGACGTTTTAAAAAATTGTCATCGGAGTGCACAATGGCAACATCAGGATCCATCTGACCACCATAGATGACTATCATAGTATCAAGAAAAGTTTTTTACGTTTCCTTACCCAAAACTCCAAACTCCAAACTTTGTGGATTGAAATAGGCTTCCTTCGACCCACTTTGCAACTTCGATCAAAAGTCAAACAACACGCCACGACAAATACAAGACGTCAAAGAAAAAAAGTCCAAATTGTACGATGGATAGTTTGTATACAACAAAAACAAACAAGTTTACGAGAAGAAAGGACCCCATAAATTGTTAGTGTGTAAAAAACACGTACAAAAGAAATCATTAGAAAGGGTACCGAGTAAAAGACAGGATAGCAAGTGTAGGAAACAAGCTGGAATTGGTATTCGAGAAGAATAAGAGGAAAAGTTAGAAAAAGAAGAGGGGAAGTCAAGTGACAGGTTCGCGGGATGACAATAAAGAGAAAAAAGTCAAGCCGATATCGAGTGTGTCCAACAGAATAAAAGGGTAAGGTCCGTCCAAAATAGACAATGCTAAAACGTAAAAAAAGAGGCAGGTGCGCGCGAGTGTACACAAAATGCGAGAAGGGCCAACATACAAGAACAAGTTATCATTTCACCCCAACATCACCCAAACAATCAAGAAAGTTCCTTGGCAGAACCTCCTCAACCTTCGAGTAAAAAAGAATGAAACGAAACCGGTCTCAAGTATCCCCAAAGGTCGACATTTTAGTACAACATTATATCAAATCCCATTCCCAGCACACAAATCTGGCTCTCAAACAAGTCGAAGAGAGCTTTTTAGGAGGAGGAGCAAAGTCGTTGTGAATCCACCACCCCCCATGTCCAGCTTTGCTCGCTTAGAGAGCGAACAAGGCAGCACCAGCAGCAGCGAGAGCGACGAGACCACCGTTGACCTTGGCGGACGTAGCACCGTTACCGTTAATCGAAGTAGGAGCAGCGGAGCTGGAAGAAGAGTTGGGTGCGGTTTGGCTGGCGGAGCCCGAGGCAGAGTTAGAGCCAGAACCACTAGGCGTGGTGCGGGAAGTGGTGGGAGCAGTGCTATAATTAGAGACGGTTTAGTACAAATATAGGCGCATATACGGAGTTATTCATGACTTACGCAGTAGTTGAAGCTGCAGACCAGAAGCAGTAGCAGATCCAGAAGCTCCAGAAGCTCCAGAGGCGGTAGAGGATTGAGAGACGGAAGGAGGAGCGGCAATGTTGAAAGCGGAAGATGTTGCAAAGACGTCGGTGATGTTACCAATGTTTACAGCCTGGACAGTGTAACCGTCACTGTGGATAATTATAGAAAAAGAAAAATTTTCAATTCAATTGAGTTTTGTGGGAACGAAAAGCAGAACAAGGTATACGCACCGGCCGATTAAGACAGGCCAGGTAACGGTGATAGACTGGTCACCGGGGTTGACATTGTTGGCAATGGCGATCTTGTCGTTGAGCAAGGGGTGGGTAAGCTCAATGGAGAAGACGCTGTTTGCGGACGACACATTTTTTTTAGTAAAGGCGAGACACAAGAAAAAGAGTTATACAGCGACGTACGTGTCACTGTCAGTGGCAGTCCATGTGAGAGTGGATTGCTGGGTGGAAACAGCGTCGGTGGGAGGGGCACCCCAGGTGAGGGCTTGAACGAAAGGAAGGACAGCGGCGACGAGGCTAATGACAAAGCGGTACGTATAGTGAGTCTACCAAGCCCTGTATGTATGCGTTCCAATGAGTACGTACGCAATCTTGTTGAACATCGTGAACGTTAGTTGAAGCAAAGGGGACGGAGGAAGGACAGATGGGTCGTTGGGAACAAAAGTTGAACGAACGATGGGGCACATCAACCGGCTGTCAGCGAGTATATATACCCCCTCAACCACCCACCTGTCATCAAACACACGTGATCATTTCAAATTCTAGCCGCAAACGCGTGGTAAAAAGACGTCACCATCAAATTTCCCCGACATGTATTCCATCTTTCCATCCCTTTATGACCGCGACCAGGAACCGACCAAGGGAGTCCCTGGCTCTCTCTCGGGAGCGAGTTGAGTGACTTTCAAAGCGTTGCTGGGCCTGTTCCCGGATGCCAAAGGTGCCAACAAAGCGTTTTTCCTCAGAGACTTCTAGAGCCTTCGATCGACGGCCCTTCGCACGTAATTTATATAACGCCCAATAGATTTCATGCAATGTGTTTCACATGCCCTGTTTCCATATTTTCAGTCCCCCTGCTATTTTCTCCGTGCACTTTATACTGTATTCCTCGCCCAATCATATGCCCACACGCCCCCTTCTTCCAAGAATCCTCTCTTTCATAGCCCAGTGTTCCGTTTCTCGTTCACCGACTCCCGGAACTACTACTGGTAACACCAGGAATGTTTGACATGAAACCCCAAATGCCAAGCAGTCACACTCGTTACTATGCATATTTTACAAGGACCTGATATTGACTTGCACCGACGTCGTCGTCAACTCGAAGAGGAACCTTTTCTCAACTTTGGCACTCGACCACCCGCTATACCTATGGCTATGCTTCAAGAAGTTTGGAGCAAACCTATACAAATTTGTCGAAGCTGAGAAGTCACTAGTCACGGCCTTGAGCCAAGGTATGATCCATCCTATAATATGAACGCTAATGGGAATGGGACCGATGCCCACTACAGCGGAGACGGACGTACACGGGACTCATTATTCCATTCAACGTGACGGCGTCCATGAACTGTGCTTTCGGTAACATTTCGCCGTCGATCCATGGTATATCTTTAGGAACTCAAGCTCGTCAAGAATAGCCCAAGCCCAAGGTTCAACTGTGTCCAAAATTACAATCTCCCCCATAAATAGGACCCAGCCGCTCGATTCTAATGCGCTTCACTTCCACCTTCCAACCTCCATTCGGCTGCATAGCCCAAGACAGGACCCAGAACTGAAAAACCTTTTTCAAAACATGATCGACGCGTGTATGCGCAGCCGCGACTCTTCCTCTTCCGCTTTTCTCTTTCTTATTCTTATTCCAAACTCATTTGTGATCTCGACTCTCGTCCCCCGTCCCCTCCTCGGCATAAACTCAAATGATCTATCCCGGCCTCATTCTTCTGCTTCACGTCGTGTTTCATCCTCCCTAGTCTCAATTCCCATTACTCTCCAATGTCCTCCGTCCTTAATGAACTATCTCAGTTGATTAACACAACCCAAACTAACCCGCATATACCCGCATATATGCGGTCTACTCTTCCGTTCTCCATCGTAATTCATCTCACTCAACTCTTATCTTACCTCCGTCTTCCCGGATAATCTACCTCAGTCAGCATCAAGACTTTCCCAACAAAAGACTCATTTCCTACGGACGCACCGTGCTTTTAAACCCCCCAAGCCTCAACCCGAACAACCTCATTCTTCATTGTCTTACGCCTTTTTTACTCTATCGTCTTGACGAACATCATTGAAGCTTCGAAACTGACCCTGCGTGCACATTCGTAAGTACATGCTCCACTTCAAAACCAAATTTCTTGTCTGTGTATTGTCTAATTCCCCGGATTCTTGGCTTTTTTACCCACCCCACACAAACACACACATATAAACACACTAATTCTTAAGTAGGCTCTAACGACTACAACCGCACAATCTCCCTATGTATAAAGTAATACCTCAAAGACACCTTGTCAGTTAGGTAAGTACTATGTAGTACTCTACAGTAATCCTCGGTCCCGCTTACGGTACTGCAATATACCCTTTAATGCCTTGTCATTTTTATTGAGCGGGACGACATGGGCGGTAACTTCAACATGAATGAATTGGAACGGAGTGAGCGCTCCAAGGACTTGAGCTTGATACATTGGAACTAAGCAATGCCCCTACAATAGATGACAGCGCTCTCTACTCGAGTCGTAACGTTTACATATACCAACTCTACTTACGTCGTCTGAACAAGAAGAGCGCGGTAGAAAGCAGTACTTATACATACTTCTCGTACTCAACACTCAACCTTGACCCTTCATACATAGATGTAGATACTAAAACAGGTTCATATTGCTGGACAAGTATCTCGTACCAACGCACCTCGAGCTCTACCACTAAAAATCTTAGTTCCAAGCTAATCGTAACACTTGTAACATATACTGTATACTTATATATGTAATTATAATGTTGGTTCAAAACTTCAAAACTCAAACATCCAAAACCTATACTTATGTACTTTCCCTTTTGTTTAAAAATAACATTCTCTGTAATGATTCGACCCGGGCTCGAACCGGGGACCTTCTGTGTAACGAAGTTTCATAGGATTACTCATGTTAGACAGATGCGATAACCAACTACGCCATCGAACCGACGATAATTAGACCACAGAAAGGGTTTCAGTACTTCCAACAGTGTATCTGTTGAGCACAGAGGGTCGGTTTGACCTCGATTGTCAGGCTTAAAGTGAACAGAGTGAGCGCTCCAAGGACTTTTTGATATATTGGAACTGCAAATTCCCAAAGGCCAAAGATACACTCCCTACAATAGACAGTGACAGGCTGAGCTCTACTCAAGTCGTTGACATATGACTCTTAATACTTACTTACGTTGTATACAAGAAGAGCGCATCAGAAAGCAATACATACTTCTCTCACCCGACACTCTAACCTTGAAGCTTGACCCTTCATACATAAATATAAATATCAAAATATGGCTCGTATTCTAGGACAAGTATCTCTTACAGCACCGTTGGAAATTCGAGCTATACCACCAAAAATCTTAGTTCCAAGCTAATTGTAACACTTGTAACATATTATACTGTATAAATAATATTGGTTCAAAACTCAAACATCTAGAATTGTACTTATGTACTTTCCCCTTTGTCGAAAAGTTACACTATGTACTATAATGATTCGACCCGGGCTCGAACCGGGGACCTTCTGTGTAATGAAGCTTCAAAAATTCTTCTACATGTTAGACAGATGCGATAACCATCCAGTAACGCTCCGCGTGCGCGTTCGCAATCCCCGACTCTCGGTCTCGAACGCAAAGTTCTTGACAAAGTATGGTACAGTATTCGCTTAGTATGGACAACTCAATTTTCAGTATGGAAAATAGCATAGAAGTATCAGATGGTAGTATATAACGCGCCCCTCGGAATAAAATCGAAGGGATTAATATAAGTAGGCAATACTTCAGTTAATAGTATGATATGAAACGGCCAAATGAAAACCTTGAAAGATTTAAGAGAGAGGGGGATTTATTTGGACAGCTAGAGAGCACGAAGGGATAGCAGTTACCAGTAGCAATAGCAATAGGAATAAGCAAATAATAGTAATAGTAGTGAATCCGGAGTACAAAAAGAACAGTGTCCCCATTCGTACACTTTCTGGGTTGGACATGAAGGTAAGTAAAAAGCTGGCGTGGTAGATATGAGAGCAATGAGTAGGAAGCGATCTGGGTAATGGCGTGGGAGCAAACTAGCATTTGTCAGCCAATTTTCAGGACCGTGGGAACTGTTCGTACCTAACGGGGGCACAAGGCCCTCCTCTCGAAGAGTCGGGGAAAGAGGCGTGAGAGAAAACTAGCATGTGTCAGCCAATTTTTGGGCCCGTGGGAATAATTTTGGTGCTAGGGGGGGCACAAGGCCCTCCTCTCGAAGAGAGTCGGGGAAACTACGCCATCGAACCGATGATAATCAGTACACAGAAAGGGTTTTCAGTACTTCTAACAGTGTATCTGTGAAGCACAGAGGGTCGTTTTGGACCTCGTTGCCAAGGAGATCTTCCGAACCCAGAATTTTTTCACGATTTGTGTAACAGTAATGGACCCTAGAGGAAAAAATACTTGTTTCCACATAGCCAGCCCCATAGTTAGTGAAAATATATTTGTTATCCCCTTCTTGCCTTGAAATTTTTGTAACAAACTCTGAATCTGGGTACAGTTAACATCAGTGGACCTTTTGAGCATGTCAAACTTGAAGGTGTACATATTACCATAGGAGCAGCTGCAAGGACCACAATCAGTTGAATTGTATACTTAATGATGACCAGATCTAGACAAGTGAGAGTCTTCTTGGGATCGAGGCCGTATCAGTAAGTATGTACTTGTATGCCTCGATAAGACCAGAACTGATCTCTCCTTTCGAGATAAGCTGGATGAAGGTAGTCATTAAGCAACTAAAAGAACACTACCCGTGAACTGGTTGAATCAGTCAGAACAAACATGCCTGAAGTGGAGAAGGACAACATTGGACAAAGCCGACAGAACCCTAAATTCAAATCTTCACTTCAAGTTCTGTAGTTTTAGGACCGTCCAGCTATCTACAAGCTC